AATACAAGAATAGTTTACAAATGAACCCTCTTTGGTGGTGTGTTCTTAGGTCTTATCTTACAAAATGAAACCAAACACCCCTATTTATATTAGTGATAGTTTAACTCCTAGCTTATTCTAGATTATTCTCTAAACACATTCTAAAATTATCTCTAAACCTCATTATAAGGTAATTTATCAAGATAATTCTAGAGATTTCTTATTATCTATACCTCTACTTAATCTTCTCTATCATTCTAAAATCTTCTCCATAATTCTAGATTTGTCTTCATTAGTCTCATGATTTGTATGGGCTAATGGAAGGAATATCTAACGGGGACCAACACTCTTTTGATATGTCCAATATTGTTATGAGATATTTCTACCAGAATTTTACTCAATAAAGTATTTTGCTTTGCATCACATCAAAGCAGTGATTCTTGAACGAGTTTTTGTTGTTGTTGTCTCAAGTACATATGATCAGGAAGTAAGATACCTGGTTGAGTTGAGCCAAACCCTTCTCTAAATCCCTTATTTTGGATCTATAATTGTAGGGGTCGGATTTCACCCCTATGAGATCGATATAACGACAAGATCAATTGGGCACCATCCTAACGAAATCGGAGCAAGTCTACAAGGGTCCAGTCTGAATCTAGGCCCAAAATGACATTAAACTCATTAACAAAATGGGCTTAATAGATTAATGGGCCTAAATGTTGTATATTGCTTACTTAGAAATACTATATATAGTTCATTATCATCTCCCAAAAAAGGGGATCGGAATCCATTAGCAAAAAACTCTTGTAACAGCTTTCTTCACAGCTAATAAAAACTCTCTTGAGATCTTTGTGTTTGCTTGCTTTCCACAGAACTTTACAAACCCTAAAGAATCACTTAGATTCTAATTGTGAGATTCGACAGCCACAATTTGGAGCCATCTAAGGGGAACAGTAAAGCTTCTTACTCAACAAGCACCACCACGCTGAGATCGGAAGAGATGACCATCGACAAAGACACAGCAGCAAACCTCGTGAGAAACATCGCCAGGAGCGACAACACCGGTGACAACCGCGTCGA